CCGGCTACTGTTGCTTGACAGCGATTCTAACACTAAGGCGAAAGCGGAGCGGAGCCACGCATAGTGGGGAGAGATTCCCTCCCTCCTCGTCTGCGTGCCGGTGCTCAGGTGCTGACTCGGGAAGGATCCGTGAGGCAGCGGGGACGAGAACAGTAACGGGATTCGCATCAGGCAGCATCCTACACCAGTGGGGACCCCTGCGCTGCACAACGGGGAAACCTGCTCCCTTCTACAAAAAGAAAAAGGTTCGCCTTGCTTCATGCACCCACACAACTCCAAAATACAATTTTTCAGGTCTGATCTCGGATTCCTAATGCAGCCAGGAAGTCAGGCTTTTAGGTCTTCAGTATCTTTCTGAGGCGGTTCTGGGCTTCGCTCTGAGACATCTCAGGCCATCAGCAACTTCGTTTCGGTGACTGTAGGGTCGACTGAAGTGTGACACTGCAGTGAGCGAGTCGAGGTTTGACACCATTTCCCGTTCAGAAACGACAGAAGCACACTTCAGCCTCCCTCACGCTCAGGAGTATGCTGGCTTTGAGACCAGATGCTTTTTTTTTTTCACCACCAGTCCTGAAGCATTTACAGAAAAATTAGCCACTTGGTGCTCGTGAGCCCCTACGGTTCATAGGACTAGCCTGACTCCCCAAAATCTACCTAAGCAAGCGAACATCACCTAGAGTAAAACTCTCCAACAACTGTGTGGTGCTTTACTGTGACACAAAAGGAAGCTGAAGAACACGACTGACACCTTCATTTTTGCCGGAAAGTTCCTGGTGCTGGGCACAGCAGTTTTACTTACAGCATCTGTGTACCGCAGTCGCCTTGCTGCGATCAACTTTAGGTTGATTACTCCGAAGACCATTCACGCCTTCAGCTTCAAGAATCAGTGCTGGAATCAGTAGAAATAACCAGATTAGAACAACTGGGTCTGATTTCGTGTCTGCGTCTTCGTTGACTCACTTTTTGCAAAACAGTCTTTCTCGTTTGCCTCTGAAATGGCATGATAAATTCATGCCCTTTCGTTTACCTTGCTACGCATCTCTTTGGCTGGATAATCAAAGCACCAGAACACATTAAATTACTAGTAACGCTCATAAATAATTGTGACTTGGTTACAAGAAAATACACATTCGTCTTTATATATGTAAATACAAAATCTGTACAGGTGCTGCTGTGGGCTGTAAGGCGTGGTGATCTCCGTTCGGAGGGTGCTTGCAGTTTTCCAGGAAGCGGGATGGGCTGCCGGGCGCCGAGCGGCTCCGCTCGGGACTGTCCTGCGGGAGGCACCCTGCTGAGCCCCTTGTGCCCACCTGCGGACGGCCCTTTCTCACCTACTGCTTCCTAATCAGGTTAAACCCCTTCAGCAGAAATAAATAAATCAAATGAGTGAATAAAGCAAGTGCTAGTATAATCTCTCGTGTGAACGTGGGTGCTGCACGGGCACAGGGAACGCACCTCCGGCTCCTGGGGTGTCAGTTTTCTCAAACGATTAGAGGAGAAATGGTACGAAACTGGCTGTGTTTCGTGTTTTGCAAAACTAGTTCGTGCCGAAGCATATCCTCTGCCTTCCCGGGTCTCGGCTGGACGGGTGATTTTTTTCACGCCGCCGGTGAGGACGGGGGAAGCGGGGCGCTGGCGCTGCCCATCGAGCGGTGCCGAGGATGACCCGAGGCTACCTGCGAAGTTTTGTCTTTAGCTCTGTCACCGGAAGGTGCGCGAGCAGCAGCCTTGGCCGGGACGTGGCGGACTGCGGGTCATGGTACGGGCCGGTGTTAGCGGGGGCCGTCAGGGCTCGCACAGCCCGCTCTGCCCGGGGGCCCGGCAGGGCCGGTGTTAGCGGGGGCCGTCAGGGCTCGCACAGCCCGCTCTGCCCGGGGGCCCGGGCGCGGGGTCGCCTGGTGCGCGCGGGCTGCTGCGTCACGTGCCCGCGGGCGGTGGCGCGAGGCCGGCGAGGCGAGAAGCCCTGAGGGGAGCCCTCAGCAGCTCCTACAGCCATCGTCCCAGGGCTCTTGCCACCCCGAGAGGAGCTGCTATCTGCACTATCAGCACGCCGAGCAGAGGTGAAGGGGTTCGGCTTTTATTCTTGGTTTACGGTGTGATCTGTGTGCCGCAGCTCAGTAACCATTGACCTAGTCTTGCGTGCGCAGTGTCGAGCTGTGTGACAATGCCAAGTGTTCTGTGGTCCAGCGTGGAAAAGCCCTACGCCAAGCCCAGAGCTGGCACAGCGATGTCATTAATGGGAAATGTAAGGCTGGGTTTTAACGAAGTTACTCTAATGCTTCTCTCAAACGGAGTGTGATATTCAAAGTTAAACATAAAAACTTGGTAAGATGCATTTGAATTCGATGGCACATGATTGTTACACCATAGTGACAAGAGAGGGGAAGAAATAAATAAAAGGAGGGGTTTAAAGTAGGGTGGGATTATGTTATAGTCGTGTTTAAGATTGAAAAGCTACTCAGTGTAACTTCACTGCGCAGTTTACAGTAGCTGCCTGGTGTCAGCATTAGAGCTAAAACAGCATCAGATAAGGTACCAAAGGTGACAAAGCTGGAGGTGAG